CATCCGTGAGAATGAAAAACCCTACAGCAGGTTTGGGTTCAAAGGGGGTGGGGATCGAGGAGGAATTTGATGAGTCAGAGTTGGGGCACAGAGGGTGGGAGTCACCGAGGCAGCAGTCTCACCTGGGGACAGGTTCAGCTGTGGAATGACAGTCACCTGCTGCAGACCAGCCTCTGTGCTACTCAATGGACAGACACTTGGCCAGATGGGGGCCATGCCCTTCAGAGCCACAGAAAGCCCTGGGGTAGTTGGAACCCTCTGTACAGACAACCCTTTCTGTCACCTTCGGCATCCAATTAGACTGCTTCTGACATTTCACCTGCGCAGGTGAGCTCCATAATGCCTAACAGGGATTCTGGCCTCCTAGGCCTGACTTAGCCAGGCGGCCCCATCTACACCGCACACATCAGAAGGACAGTGGCCAAAGCCCACCTCACTGTGCCAGGTACTGCCGCTTGCAGACACCTCAGGCAGGTGGTGCTGGAAGGGGCTGGACAACGGGCCTGCCCAGCCACCTCTGCTCAGATGGGGAGGGTCCCTGCCGACAGTCACCAAGCAAGGCCCCAGCGAGGCTGGCTCCAGAGCTCAGGGGGCCCGTCTCCCAGACCAGGGTGGTCTGTGGACCAGCAGCATCAGCGCCACCTGGGAGCTGTTGACATGCAGACTCTTAGGCCCTGCCCCAGACTTGCTCCATCAGAGAAGCCGTGTTTTTAACAAGATGCCCAGGTGCTTTGACAGTTTGAGATGCCCTAGACCACCGTTCTCTCCTCTACCCCACCATGCTCCCTCTCAGGGGCCGGAGTGGCCGGAGCCTGCTGAGGTGTCTGGGAAGGAGCCGCTGGGGGCCAAGGGCTCCGTTGAAAGGCAGGAAGGTGGGCGGGGAGAGGGCAGGGGAGCCCCAGGGAAGGACATCTGGCCTGGGCCCCCAAGGGAGTCCAAACTCTCAGGAGACTGGAGGCTGGAGACAGGGGAGGTGGGTGATGTGGGCTGGACCCATCATCTCGCCCAGCCTGAGGACGGCGGGGCGAGGACAGCCTGCGCTGCGGGGCCTTCAGCTCCTGCTGCAGCCTCAGAGGCAGACCCGTGCCACGGTGGGCACGCCACCTCCGCCAAGGGGAAATCAGGCCCAGCAGGAGTTTAGACTCCAGGACAAAACAGGTGTCCTTGACCAATTTGTTCCTCTCTTAAGCATAAGAGGAGGAATGGTTCTATGTCTCCAGCCCCAGACCAGAACAATAAGAATAAATGGCTACAGATAAACTTTAACAATCCCCACAGCACAAAACAATACTCGCCTGGCTAATTTCAGATTCCCGGTTACCGCGAGGAGCGGCCTCCTGCTCGGGCAGGTCTGGCCCAACGCCCCCCTCCCCTGCAAGGGATTGATGACTTCCCGCCTGTGCCGCGATGCAAGAGGTGGGCACAGGCTGGCGGGGCCACTGGCCCTAGGTGTTGTCCCTGACAGTGCCCAACTGGCAAAGGCCACCGGAGGGGCCGCTCCACCTGCACGGCAGCCAGTTGCTTGCTACTGGGGACAGGGCTTCTGCGGCTTGACACAGGCCGGGCCTGCGCGGCGTCCCGGGCTGCTCATTTTATCATAAACACAGTTCGGCCACCGAACGAAGACTGGTGCAGGGGGGCAGCCCTGGCTGGAGACTCTGGCGTTCCACACCAGCAGCGTGATGCGGGGCCAATTAATCTACCTCCTGCGCCTCCAGTCTCCTCCTCCTGTAAAATGGGGGAGCTATTTATGACTGGGAGCGCAAACAGACGCACCTCCCTCCTTCTGCAGCGCAGGCGAGCTGTCGACGGGTCACGCAGTCCTCCTTCGGGCCCGACATGGCTGCTGATCTTGCCTAACGTAGCAATAGGCTCCAGATTCAGTGGGCTGGCCAAGGGCCCTTCTTACCCCCATTCGCTTTACTCCAGATCCCCAGAGCTGGTCGTTCACTGGCAGGGGCAGCCCACTTCTGGGAAGCTCAGGGGGTTTCTGGTGGTTTCCTGTCTTGCTGGGCCTCAGAAGACTGGCAGAGGCCACAGAACTGTATGCAGGAGGCTCAAATCATATCCTCACCTGCACTGCATCAGTGTGTGATCTTGGGGCAAGTTACTTAAGCCTCTCTGTGCTGAAATTTCCTCATCTGAAATATGTGATGGTAATAGACCGTGCTGGCATAGGTTGGTTGTGAGGCCCGCGTGAGCTCCTGCACACTGTACCGAAATGGAAGCTCAAAAGCACCGAACCAGGTGGCTCCTATAGTCTGGACCGTGTCTGTGGGCGCTGCCAACGTTGGTACTTATGCTTATGGACCTGTGCTGTGCCATGGGAACAGGTGCCTGAAGCCCCAGGCCAACCACGCTAGCTAAAGAAGGAGCCAAGCTTTTGGGAGGACCACGTTCTCTTGGGTGCTACCCTGGGCTGCCCCTCCCGAAGGGCCCCTCTGCCGAGACCTGCCGTCCCACCCACTGCCCCACTGGCTGCTTCAACGCTTCCCCAGGGGTCCTGCAGATGCAGCCTGGTTCCACCAGCCAGGAAGTAGACACCTTTACTAGGACAAGACCACGGAAGCCCCAGGGCCCCATGTTCCTCACGTGGCAGCGAGTTGGGGAAAAACACACCATCTAGGAAAGCTTTGGCCTTAAAAAAAAAGGTGCAAAAGGCAGCCGCAGTAACAGCAGCAGATACTCCCCGTAACGCAGAGCCGGCCGGGACGCCTACGCCACTGAGCCACACCCACAGCTGCACCACTGGGAGTGTGGCGGGAGGGTGGCTTTCCTGTGGAGGGAAGTGCCTAAGTCCCTCCACAGGAGTGGATGGTCAAGACATGCAAACAAACAACACAAACCTGGGGCTTGACGCAGGCAAGAAGCTGGCCCACTGGAGCAGGGCCCAGGCGGGCATCACCCGTTAAGCTGCTGGGCTGCAGCGGGAGGTGGGGACAGGCACCGTAAGAAGTCCACGGCTCATGTAGCACTTGTGGGAAGGGGCCCTGCCCAGTGCTATGGCCGACTGGCCAACTGGTTCGGACGTAACCATCAATATTCTAAGGACCGCAATATTCTAAGTGCAGCGGCAAGGCCCAGCGCCCTGCAAGTGTGATGACGCTGAATGCAGTGGCCGAGCCCCACCCCGTACACCTCACCCAGCTCCCTCCAGACCAGCACCCCTGCCCTGCCCGGGCCAGGGAAGAGTGTGCAGCTGCTGCTGTTAGGAAGCTCTCTGGGAGATACGGTGCCTGCGAAGATGCGCACAGTTTAAGGGTTTTGCCTGCATGTCTGGCCCCAGCACCACATGCGGCCCGAACGAACTCACAAACCTGGCCCTGCCTGCCCTTATCTCCATCCTACAGCCGACTTCTGGTTCACTTTGATCAGCAGTCACGCCAGATTAAAATGCTCTTCCCGGCTGCTGGCTCAGCAAAGGCATTCCTCAGTCAGGGTCTTCCCCCGTGAGCTGGACCTGCGGCTTTCCGCCTGGGCCCTGGGGTTGAGCGACCCCAGGAACAGGGGAGGGATGCAGGTTTCTTGGGGATTTCTTTTAGGGCCCCGGCAGGCCTCCTGTGAGTATATGCCAGCAGGCAGGCGTGGGAGCGTGGCCAAGCACTGTTTGAGCTGGATCCTAGGGACACCCAGGAAGCTTGCTTGCGTGTGCCGCAGGCAAATCCTTCCCTTCCTCTGTGCGGTTCCTCATCTTTGTAATGAGAACTGGCTAGACATGGCCGAGCGCCCTCTGACCTGTGCTTTGGAGGGTGCTGCAGTGGGAGATTTTCCTCTATCGACACGGATACTGGGAGTTTACTGATTCCACAGAAGACCCAGTATGTCAGACCCGGCAAGTCACCGGGGCCACCAGGTTGCACGCGTACCATGAGGAAACTTGGAGGCCCGGAGGAGTTAAAGCATGACAGAGCCAGGCCCGACTAGGGCTCCTCCACGCCAACTGCTGCTCACGTTTCAAAAGACCAGAAGACACCTTTTGACGGCTCAAGTCTGCCGCCAGTGCTGGTGCCAGGCCTGCGCGGGCTCTGGGCCAGGGGTGCTGCTCTGGTGCCCCAGCAGGGCCGCGCGGCGCCAGCGGTCCTGATCACGCTTGCGAGGAGGACGCTGGAGAGCTGGCGCAGTCCGCCAGCCGAAACACGGGCTGCTAGTCTCAGCCCACCGGACCCCGAGAGACCACGAGAGAATCCCACGGCAGTGCAGGCCTCTGCTCCTCCCCTACTTCAGCCCACGGGCCGTGAAACCCAGGGATCGCCCCACCACCCAGAGTGGTGCCTCTTGCAAGGGCTGACGCACGGCCACCACGCAGCACCCCGCTGCCCACAGCGGTAATTTACATTTCCCCCTAGTATGCCAACTTTTGTAGAAATTTACCGGGAAATGATTGCATTTGGGAGCTGTCTTTTTTGTGATGGTCCCCATGGTGACAATTTGTGACAGCAAAGAATGTGGGAACGGGGCGCCGCCGCCTGATTGGGATGCTTTGTATCTGGAGAGGCGCTCCTGATTGGCCTGAGGGGCCCCCCAGCTCCGGGGAGCCGTCCTCCATTCAGCCCACTCAAGGGCTGCACAACTGCTTCCAGCCGGACGGAGCGCGGCCCGCCGCGCCCGGCCTGTCCCAGGTCTGCGGTGGTGAACCTGCTGGGCCTCGCTGGCGGGCCGGGGGCCGCACCTTCGGTCAGTGTGGAGGCCCGGTGGCTCTGGCCCGGCTGGGTGGGGGCGTGGGGCGGGCGGGCGCGGGGGAGGGGCGGGGGCCGTGGGTGGCGGCCGAGGAGGCATGAAATCGCTGCAGATGCTTCCTCAGGGGAGTCCCTGCTGCCCGCAGCCTGGGACCAGCCCGCAAGGCAGGTCTCGATTAAGTGCCAGACAGGGGTCCTGCCTGGTCCTGCGTGAGAGCTGGGGGTGGAGCGTGGGCACTGAGGAGGGGGGACTGGGGGCGGGGGCCACCACCAGGAAGGAAGGGGGCTTGGCCTTGCTTTAAAGTGGAGCGGTTGCCTCGGCTCAGAAAATGAAAACCTTGCTGGCAAGTTGTGCGCGTTGGCAGCGTGGTGTGGTGTGCGGGACACACGGCGGGCTGGGAGCGCGGGGGCTCCTGCTGCAGCCCCTGCCATGCCGCTTGTAGCCGGGTCACCGTGGGCAAGCTGCTTCACCTCTCTGAGCCTCAGCTGCAAGGAGAGGGCAACAGGCCCCAGGGCGCCGGATGAGGCTCTGTTGGTGCCTGTCCCATCGCAGATACTCAGGAAACGCTCGGTGACCTGCGCAGGTGTCCCACCACCTAGGGCTGTGTCCAGGGCTGAGGGCTGCTGGGCTTGGGGACACTGTTGGCAGCCAGGCGGTGTGGCCTTTGGGGAGGCTGGGTGTGGCTGCCTGGAGAGATTCCAACGGCCTGTCGCGCCCCTAGGTCAGCTCGGCGCCCTTCCCCGGAGCTGTCGGCCACCAGCAGAACCCGCCCTCTTCATGGACAGCCCCGTGCAGTGGCCCCCTGGTGATGGCATCCGACAGTGACGTGAAGATGCTGCTGAACTTCGTGAACCTGGCGTCCAGCGACATCAAGGCAGCCCTGGACAAGTCCGCGCCCTGCCGCCGCTCCGTGGACCACCGCAAGTACCTGCAGAAGCAGCTCAAGCGCTTCTCCCAGAAGTACTCCCGGCTCCCGCGGGGCCTGCCCGGCAGAGCGGCTGAGCCCCACCTGAAGAGAGGGCCCGAGGACCGGCCCGGGAGGCTGCTGCTCGATCCGGGCCCCGAGTCCGGCCCCGGCGGGGGTGGGGGCTGCAAGGAGAAGGCCCTGGGGAATCCCTACGGCGAGGAATGTCTCTCTAAGGAGCAGGTCCTGCAGGGGCAGAGTCCAGAAGCCGCCAGGCCTGGCCAGGTGCCCATGAGGAAAAGACAGCTGCCCGCTTCCTTCTGGGAAGAGCCGAGGCCCACCCACAGCTACCCCGTGGGGCTGGAGGGAGGACTGGGCCCCAGGGAGGGACCTCTCTATGAGGGAAAGAAAAATTGCAAGGGCTTGGAGCCCTTGGGGCCCGAGGCTGCCCTGGTGCCCATGTCCCCCAGGGCACTGGCTGAAAAGGAGCCGCTCAAGATGCCTGGCGTGTCCCTGGTGGGCCGTGGCAATGCCTGGAGCTGCTGCCCCTTGCAATACCATGGACAGCCCATCTACCCGGGCCTTCCGGGGGCCCTGCCTCAGAGCCCCATCCCTGGCCTGGGCCTGTGGAGGAAAAGCCCAGCCTTCCCCGGGGAGCTGGCCCACTTCTGCAAGGATGTGGATGGCCTGGGGCAGGTGTGCAGGCCCGTGGTGCTGAAGCCCATCCCCACCAAGCCGGCCATGGCCCCGCCCATCTTCAACGTCTTCGGCTACCTCTAGCAGGGCCCGAGGGCCTCGGCCCCACCTCCGGCCTGCAGGAGTGTCGGGGGCTCCAGGTGGGCAGCGGCGTGGCTTCCTGGGCATTCCCAACGCCTGTCCCTTTGTGTGTGGGGAGGCGGGCAGGACTGGGGCCGGGGCTCCTCACCCTTGCAGCCTTGTGGGGCTGGGCTCGGCGGGCCCCCTCCAACCGGGCCAGGCCCAGCAGCTCACCCGCCGTCCCTGCGCAGACCACGGGCAGGGGGACTGGGCCCCTGCCTGCCTGCCAGCCACCCCAGAAGCCAGTTACACACCTGTTCATCTGCCACCCACTGTGCGAGCCAATCTCAGTTGTTCTTTTTGTTCTTTGTAAATATTAAGAAGGTTAAATGAATAAAGACATTTCGTTTACAGTTTCCACATCTCGGCTGTCATGAGGTCGAATGGTCCCTGGGCCTAAGGTGGCGCTGGCTGTGGCAGGCTGGGGGCGGCTCCTGGCGGTGGCTGGTCTGGGGGAGGCCAGGAGGGGCCGGAGCCGCTGAGGTGTCTGGGAAGGAGCGCTGGGGGTCAAGGGCTCCGTTGAAAGGCAGGAAGGTGGGCAGGGGAGAGGGCAGGGGAGCCCCCAGGGAAGGACACTCTGGCCTGGGCCCCCAGGAGGTCCAAACTGCTCAGGAGACTGGGAGCTGGAGCCAGGGGAGGTGGGGTGATGTGGGGCTGGACCCTCATCTCGCCCAGCTGCAGGACGGCGGGGCGAGGACAGGCCTCGCTGCGGGGCCTTCAGCTCTGCGTGCAGCCTCAGAGCAGACCCGTGCCACGGTGGGCACGCCACCTCCGGCCAGGGGGAAATCCGGCCAAGCAGGAGTTCGGACTCCAAGGACAAAACAGGTGTCCTGACCAAATCGTTCCTCTCTTAAGCATAAGAGAGGAATGGTTCTATGTCTCCAGACCCCAGACAAAAATAAATAAATGGATACAGATAATATTTAAAAACCCCACACAAAGCAATACTCCCTGGCTAATTCAGATTCCCGGTTACCCGAGGACGGCCCTCTCCTCGGGCAGGCCTGCCACACGCCCCCCTCCCCCTGCAAGGGATTGATGAGGCTTCGCCTGTGCCCATGCAGAGGTGGGCACAGGTGGCGGGCACTGGGCCTAGGTGTTGTCCTGACAGTGCCCACCTGGCAAAGCCACCGGAGGGGCCTTCACCTGCACGCCAGCCAGGTTTGCTCTGCTACTGGGGACAGGGCTCTGCGTCTGACAGAGGGCGGCCTGCCCGGGTGCCCGGCTGCTCATTTTATCAAAACATAGTTCCCACAACGAAGACTGGTGCAGGGGGCAGCCCTGGCTGGAGACTCTGGCGTTCCAACCAGCAGCGTGATGCGGGCCAAATTAATCTCCCCTCTGCGCCTCAGTCTCCTCCTCTGTAAAATGGGGGACTATTATAGACTGGGACAGCAAACAGACGCACCTCCCTCTTCTGCACCCAGGCGAGCGTTGACGGGTCACCAGGTTCCTCCTTCGGGGCCCAGACATGGCTCTGATCCTTCCTAACTAGCATAGGCTCCAGGATTAGTGGCTGCCAAGGGCCCTTCTTACCCCACCTTGCTTTACTCCCAGATCCCCCCAGAGCTGGTCGTCCACTGCAGGGGCAGCCCACTCTCTGGGAAGTCAGGGGGTTTCTGGTGGTTTCTGTCTGCTGGCCTCAGAAGACTGCAGAGCCACAGAACTGTATAGCAGGAGGCTCAAAACTCATATCCTCACCCTGCCACTCATCAGCTGTGTGATCTTGGGCAAGTTACTTAACCTCTCTGTGCTGAAATTTCCTCATCTGAACTATGTGATTGGTAATAGACCTATTGCGTAGGTTGTTGTGAGGCCCACGTGAGTGCCTGGCACACTGTACCACATGGAAGCTCAAAAGCACCAACCAGGTGGCCTCCTATAGTTCTGGTACGGTCTGTGGGCCCTGCCACGTTGGTACTTTAATGCTTATGGACTGTGCTGTCCATGGGAACAGGTGCCTGAGCACCCAGCCAACCACGCCCGCTAAAGAAGGAGCCAAGGTTTGGGAGACACGTCTCTTGGGGTGCTACCTGGGCTGCCCTCCAAGGGCCCCTCTGCCGAGACCTGCCGTCCCCACCCACTGCCCCACTCCGCTCAACCTTCCCAGGGGGTACCTGCAGATGCACTGGTTCCACAGCCAGGAAGTAGACACCTTTACTAGGACAAGACCCAACGGAAGCCCAGGGCACCATGATTCCCCCACGTGGCAGCGAGTTGGGGGAAAAACACACATCTAGGAAAGCTTTGGCATTAAAAAAAAAATGCAAAAAGCAGCCACAGTAACAGCAGCAGATACTCCCCTAACCAGAGCCGGCCGGGACCTACCCACTGAGCCACACCCACAGCTGCCACCACTGGGGAGTGTGCGGGAGGGTGGCTTCTTTGGAGGGAGATGCCTAAGTCCTCTCCACAGGAGTGATGGTCAAGACATGCAACAAACAACACAACCTGAGGGCTGACCAGGCAGAACTGGCCCACTGGAGCAGGGCCCAGGCCGGGCATCAACCCGTTAGCTGCTGGGCTGCAGCGGGAGGTGGGGACAGGACCTAAGAAGTCCACGGCTGCACGTAGCACTTGGTGGGAAGGGGCCCTGCCCAGTGCTATGGCCGACTGGCCAACTGGTATGGACGTAAACACATCAATATTCTAAGGAGCCAAATATTCTAAGTGCATCCCAGGCCAGGGGCCCAGCACCCTGCAAGTGGTGACGATGCTGAATGCAGTGGCCGAGCCCCCACCCCTACACCTCCACCCAGCTCCCTCAGACCAGCACCCTGCCCTGCCCGGGGCCAGGGAAGAGGTGTGCAGCTGCTGCCTGTTAGGACTCTCTGGGAGATACGGTGGCCTGCGAAATGCCACAGTTTAAGGGTTTGCCTCATGTCTGCCCCCAGCCCACATGCGCCCCGAACAACTCACAAACTGGCCCTGTCTGCCTTATCCCATCCTACCCTTCTGGTCACTTTTGATCAGCAGTCACCCAAGATTAAAATGCTCTCCCCCGGCTGCCGGCTCAGCAAAGGCATTCCTCAGTCAGGGTCTTCCCCGTGAGCTGGACCTGGTGGCTTCCCCTGGGCCCTGGGGGTTGAGCGACCCCAGGAACAGGGGAGGGGATGCAGGTTTCCTTGGGGATTTCTTTAGGGCCCCGCAGGCTCTGTGAGATATGCAGCAAGGCAGCGTGGGAACGCGGCCAAGCGCTGTTGAGCCGGAATCCTAGGGACACCCAGGAAGCTTGCTGTGTGTGCCCAGGCAAGTCCCTTCCCCTCTCTGTGCTGGTTCCTCATTTGTACCATGAAGAACTGGGCTAGACATGGTCAAGTGCCCCCTGACCTGTGGCTGGAGGGTGCTGCGTGGAAGATTTTCCCTCTTCACACGGACACTGGGATTTACTGATTCCACAGAAACCCAGTGTGTCAGAGCCGGCAAGGTCACCGAGGCCACCAGGTCTCACCGTACAGATGAGGAAACTGAGGCCCCGGAGGAGTAAGCAATGGCAGAGCCAGGCCCGGGAGCTAGGGCTCCTCCCACCCAACTGGCTGCTCACTTTCCAAAAGCCAGAGACCACCTTTGACCTCAAGTCTCCGCCAGACACTGGTGCTGGGCCTGGCGCGGGCTCTGGGCCAGGGTGCTGCTCTGGTGCCCCAGCAGGGCCACGCGGCTCCTGATTACGCTTGCGAGGAGGACGCTGGAGAGCTGGCGCAGCTCCCACCGAAACAGGGCATGCTAGGTCTCAGCCCACCGGACCCCGAGAGACCACGAGAGAATCCCACGGCAGTGGCGGGCCTCAGCTCTCCCCTACTCAGCCCACGGGGCCACGTGAAACCCAGGGCATCCCACGCACCCAGAGTTGGTGCCTCTGCAAGGGCTGACCATGGCCACCACTCCAGCACCGCTGCCCACATTGGTATTTACATTTCCCCCTAGTATGGCAACTTTCATAGCACAACAGGGGCAAGCATGGTGTGAAAACAGAGTGGCAGGGACGAGTGTATAAGACAATCCCGGGTGCTGGGAGACTTGTGGCACCGAGCACCTGTTTGTGATGCAGCTCCTGTTTCCATGGTGATTAAACCAGGAGAGGAAAGCCCACTGGGTCATCAGGTCTCTCCTGGTGAAGGAATGACACTCCCTCTTGGGTCGTTCAGAAACCTACACAAAGTAACATGTTCAGGGGACCCTGTGTCCTGTCTCCCCACTGGCCCACGCCACCCCCACTATTGCCAGGGGGCAGCGCTGAGCACCTCAGGCCTCTGGGAGTCTGGTGAGAGGGACTTGGCGAGGCAGGGTGACACGTATGTGACATTTATTGTAGTTAACGAAGCCCCCAGGGTCTCCCTCCCCTGGCCCTGGGCCACGTCCTCCTCTTCATCTTTGGAGGGAAAGACCAGAAGTCAGGGGGACAGTTTCACAGAGCAAGGGGGAGTGCTCGGGGAATGCTCTGAGGCCAGGGACAGAGGAGGTCCCCGCTGGCCCCCACCTTCCCCAGACCACCTCAAGTTCTGCCCTGGTCCCTCCCCGGCCCCAGGAATGGAGGTCTCTGCCATTCCCGGAGGCACTGAAGGTCTAGGATCTACATCCCAGATCTGCATCAGTTTGAAAACAAGTGATTCTTCTGCTTGACACGTTCTGTTCTCTGCTCTGGCCAAAGCGCTGGCCCTGAGACCCAGCGAGATCCTGGCAGCTGCCACAGCCTCGTCTTGTCACCAGGTCCCTTTGGGTTTGGGGACACTACCGTCCTGAGACTTAGTAAAAACAGTCTGAGGGGTCACTCCTCTCTCCCTGCGGCCCCGGTTACTGGGTGTTCTCATATTTCAGGTATCTGATCAGTCTGCCCGGGAGGGGCAACGTGTCTAGGAGTTTTATACGGTATTTCCCAATGGCCTTTCGAACTCGCAGCCGGCAAAGGTGAGCCAGAGGTCTTGGAGGTTCTGGAAAAAGGAGGGAAAGAGAGATGCTGATTTGTCGTTGGCAATGGGCAAAGCGTGTGCATCTGTGATCTCTAGCCTAACGGGAGGTGCCCAGCTGACACGGCTGGGTAAGAGAGGGAGAGCCTGCTGCTGGCAACCTGGTCCCTGTCAGCTAAAGGGACCTGGCAGGGCACCTTCCTGTTTGTCACCCTGCATGCCTTGCCCGGGCTCTCTTCATCTCATGCTCCCTCCTCTTCATATGCAACCTGGGCCCCCAAACACGGCCATAGTGACAGGTCAGAGCATCTGACCTCTTAAGTGCCCCTACATGTGGAATTCAGCTCCGAGATCCTGGTTGTGCAGAGAGGTCAGGGTAAGGCGGCGCGTCCCAGAATCCCATCTGGCTGCCTCCCCAGGCGTCACACAGTGGAGTTTTCTCAGCTGGGGTCAGGGTGGGGAGAGGGAGGAGCAGGGACAGATGCATGTAGGAATAGGGTCACTTATTTCAACCCTGGAACCCACATGTAGGCATGGACCACTCCACCCTCTAGTGGCCAAGGATCACGGTGACAGCAACCAATTGGTTTACTGTGCATCCAGAGCTGCACCCCCACCCCACCCCCACCCCGTGTGAGTTGGCAAGTCCGCGTCTCCCTCCCTCTGTGGCCACTCCAGTAACTTTGCCAGAGGCCTCAGTTCAAGTGCTGTCCAGGCATCCGTGAGAATGAAAAACCCTACAGCAGGTTTGGGTTCAAAGGGAGTGGGGATCGAGGAGGAATTTGATGAGTCAGAGTTGGGGCACAGAGGGTGGGAGTCACCGAGGCAGCAGTCTCACCTGGGGACAGGTTCAGCTGTGGAATGACAGTCACCTGCTGCAGACCAGCCTCTGTGCTACTCAATGGACAGACACTTGGCCAGATGGGGGCCATGCCCTTCAGAGCCACAGAAAGCCCTGGGGTAGCTGGAACCCTCTGTACAGACAACCCTTTCTGTCACCTTCGGCATCCAATTAGACTGCTTCTGACATTTCACCTGCGCAGGTGAGCTCCATAATGCCTAACAGGGATTCTGGCCTCCTAGGCCTGACTTAGCCAGGCGGCCCCATCTACACCGCACACATCAGAAGGACAGTGGCCAAAGCCCACCTCACTGTGCCAGGTACTGCCGCTTGCAGACACCTCAGGCAGGTGGAGCTGGAAGGGGCTGGACAACGGGCCTGCCCAGCCACCTCTGCTCAGATGGGGAGGGTCCCTGCCGACAGTCACCAAGCAAGGCCCCAGCGAGGCTGGCTCCAGAGCTCAGGGCCTGTCTCCCAGACCAGCGTGGTCTGTGGACCAGCAGCATCAGCGCCACCTGGGAGCTGTTGACATGCAGACTCTTAGGCCCTGCCCCAGACTTGCTCCATCAGAGAAGCCGTGTTTTTAACAAGATGCCCAGGTGCTTTGACAGTTTGAGATGCCCTAGACCACCATTCTCTCCTCTACCCCACCATGCTCCCTCTCAGGGGCCCCAAATCAGGGGCAACATCCTCCTTCCTGCTCTCAGGGACTGGAACTGTTCACACCTTGGAAAGATTGAGTGGAGACCCTGGGGCTAGCCAGATGTGGGTACGAATCCCAGCTCTGCCACTAACTAGCAGTGACTCCGGCCCAGGTGGCGTTCTCTCTCTGACGGTCAGTTTCCTCAAATAATCGGAGGAGTGGCAGACACACAGCGCAGAGCAGGTGCTCACTGTGTCAGTAACAGTCACATGCCCCGAGGCCTGTGCCTCTGAGCCAGGCAGCGCACACCCGTCAGCAGCAGCAGCAGCAGCAGCTGGCCCTACCTGCCTTCTCCTTTATGACGGCCCAGTCCTCGTAGCTGTCGATGTGCTCCTTCAGCCTCGAGCAGAGCTGCACGTTGCCCACGTAGTCCAGGAGGACGTCGATGATGGGCCCCGCCCAGCGGCTCACCTCCGGGGCGGACAGGAACTCACAGAACTGAAAGAGATCGCAGGCCAATGTCAGTGCGCCCGGGACCAAGGGCACCCCCTTGGCGAGCTCACCCTGCAGCGGGGAACCTGAGGCCAGGGAGGGCAGGGGACGTTTCCAAGCACGGAAACTGGGCATGCCCAAACTAGGATCCTCTTCTGCAAATCCACCCTCCTCAACACAGGGCCCCTCCCAACACAGGCCTCTGCTGCCCGGAGTGGAAGATGGGCGACTTGGACAAGTCACATCACTCCTGTGAGCCTCAACTTCCTTGTCTATAAAATGGGCATACAAAAGTAACTCCAGTGGGAGTTTTTCAAATGAGAATTAAGGTAATATGAGCATAAACTTTTTTGCACACAGTAGGTAGCTCATAAATGATGTTTCTAACTTTATTTTCATTTTAAGTTTTGACTTTTAAAGCAACAACAGCCTCCGGGTCTCTGGCTGTCTGCATCTCACCTGACCATACACTAGCCTGCTCTCGTGGCCCCTCTGAGGTCCCGCTCACTTAACATCACATTCCAGGTGTAGGTTTGCTGGAGGTGATGAGCCCTCAATTGTGCAGAGTTCCCCACCAATCCTGCTCCACTGTTGGTTCCTTAAATTCCTTAACACGGTGGATCAAAATAAGGAGCTAACTGTTCATATGCAGCATTAAGACCTTCGGCCTGTGACGTGTGCTAATCCCAGGCCCCGCTTGCCTCCAAAGCGCGCTAGTGACTAGGAAGGAGTCGCCTTTCCCAGCGCATTGCCCACTCACCCGCACTGCCTCCGAAGCGCGTTAACCACCACGCTCCGCTGCCTCCAAAGCTGTCCACACTCCCGCCAACGCGTGTTAACCCCCAGTGGACGCTGCTTCCCAAGAGGCGAACCACCCCGAGGCGCGGGCTCACCTGGACCACGCCGGGCGGCTTGTCGCTGGCGGGCGCGTCGTTGAACCTGCTGGAGCGCGGCGGCGCGGGCGGGTGCGGGCCGTTGCCGTAGAGGCACGAGAAGCAGGGCTCGCCGTCGCAGCCCAGGTCCATGAGGAACTTGAGCAGCGACAGGTACTTCATGGCGAACATGATGGTGGCGGGGAAGGCGGTGGGGTGCGTGGCGATGTAGGCGTCGATGTTGGCGCCGTGGTCCAGCAGCAGCTGCATGGTGCGCAGGCAGCCCTGGCGGATGGCCACGAGCAGCGGGCTGATGAGGTCGCGGTTGGGGTCGGCGCCCGCGAGCAGCAGCAGCTCGGTGGCGTACACGTTGTTGTTGACCACGGCGAAGTAGAGCGCCGAGGTGCGGCGGTCCTCGTACAGGCGCGCGCGCTCGGGCGCCAGCGGCGCGTTCACGTCGAAGCGCGCGCCCAGCAGCGCCTCCAGCACCTCGTCGTTGTTGCGCTCAGCCGCCAGGTGCAGCGGGCTGATGCCGCTACGGCGCACGCGCGTGCGGCTGGTCACGGGCAGCAGCATCTGCACGATCCTGCGGAGGGACGGGCAGGGCACACGCGGGTCACCGGGCGCTGCAGGGCCAGCCTTTGTCACCACATTGGAGAAGGCGGGCCTGCGGCTGTCCCCACTTTACAGGTAAGGAAACCGAGGTTCAGAGAGCCTCACCCACCTTCCCAGAGTCACAATGCCAGTAAGGGGCAGGCCGGTAGAACCCTGGCTCAGTGACCTCGAGGAACTGACTGGACGGAGGTCCAACGTGCTCCCTGCAGGAGGCACTAGAGCCAATAGTGAAGTTTGGAGCCAGACCCTGCCCTGCTCTGCCCCCCGGGGGAGGACAGACAGGACAGCCATCCCCAAGAGCTCACTGTGTGCCAGGACACTTTGAGAAGCTTTGCCAATGCAGTTTGGTTTAATCTTTACAACAACCCATAAAGCACGCCTCGTCATTCCCATTTTGCAGATGAGAACAATCAAGGCTCAGAAAGGTTAAGGGACTTGCCCAGGCCATATAGTCAGGAGAGGTAAACCAGGATGTGCGTCCTCCTCTGACTCCTGGGCTCAGCTGTCCCGCATCCCTGTTTTGCTTCCCTGGGGCCCTGGGGGACAAGAGGGGACAAATGTGTCTGGCCCCAACCACTCCTGCCCCAGGCCCCAGTCAGCCTGCTGTGACGGTAAAGTGGCCTGCTCCCCTCTTCCGGGAGTCTCAAGACCTCTTGCCCCGAAGGCTGCCCCTCGCTCCTCCCAGCCTCTGCCCTGCCTTTGGCATGGAGCGTTTGGTCCGCACCGCCGAGGCTTGAGCTCCCGAAACCCCTGGTTCCTCTCTCCCCCGAAGACGTGGGCACTGATACAGCACTTCACCTGTTTTAATGTCTTAAATCCTCCCACTAGCCCTCTGAGGTGGTCACTAATATTATCCTCATTTCACAGGTGAGGAAAGGGAAGCCCAGAGAGGGTTTGTGACTTCCTCGAGGTTGCATAGCCAGTAAGTGATGGAGCCAGGATTTGGACCCAGGCAGTCTGACCCCTAAGACCGTGCACTCTTAACCGCTCCTCTACTTCTTGTGTGAGTCGGGCAACAGTGGATGTGCCATGGGGTCTTGCAATCTCCACAACATGTGAGCTTGCCTGCCCCATTTCACCTTCCCTGCAGCGCTGGGGGTGGCCAGAGCAGGCCTGTGGCCGTGTTTTTAGTACCCATGGCTCAGACAGCTGAAGGGACTAAGCAAAGGTCATGGAATAGCTCTGGGGCTCGACCCCAGGACTCTTGGCCCCTTGTCTTTGCCTTCTTCCCCCAGACCCCTGCCGCCAGCAAGAACAAGCTCCTGCCACTGACGTGATTCCAGACCCTAATCCGTCCAATCCCCGCTGACAAGTGACCTCACAGCCTAGCGTGGGGTTCCAAGGAGGTGGCCGTGTGGGGGAAGCAGGTGCCACCAGGCCCGTTCCCACGCCTCTCCCCTCCTGGCACTCAGGCTTCCCTCTGGCTTCCTGGAAATCTGATGCCAGCGGCCTCCTGCTGGGATCTCAGTGGAAAGTGTTATTATTGTTAGTGACGCTGTGTTTGGCTAAAATCTGCCTCTAAAACCTCAAAAGGAAATTCACACACGCAGGGGGGCTAATTGCCTCCTAATTTCTATTTGTGCAAGCACAGGAGGCCTGACCTTGCTCTGCAGAGGTGCAGGTCAAAGGCAGGGCTGGGGCCTCACCCTGGATGGCGGCCACCGCACACAAATGCTCTGTTAACAGCCGTAACGTGCCCCAGCACGGGAAAGAACAGCGAGAGGGGCTGCCCCGGGGCCGCCGGCCAGATGGGGCTGGTATCTCTGGCAGGTCGCAGCTGGTCTCCAGCAAGCCCCTGCGAACCAAGGGAAAGTGGCAGAAATGTGGGAAATGACTGGATGTCGCCCAGGGTCCCAGAAGCATCGTCTGAATGACGCCGTGAATCCCCTATTGTGGCACGCTCCTGGGGGACGCCACCAGAGAGTGAGAGCGTGATGCTGGACAGCCTCTGGAGATCAGTGTGTCCAGCCCTCCCATTTTACAGAGGGTGAAACTGAGGCCCAGGCATGGGCTGGGAAGAGAGTGGGGTTAGACAAAAGGTGATAGCAAACCAGGACAAAGCGTAGGTGTCTAGACGCCCAGAGCTGGCCTTCTGTGATGCCCCCTGCTCCTGACCATGGGAGTGGCCATTTTGGCAGGTGCCTCTCATGGTCCTCTCCGCAGCCTATTTGCAGGACAGTGGGCAGGAGGATGAGGGGGCGCCCTCCCCCCAAAACAGGTTGGGTCTTCCTACTTCTCCCACAGGCAGGCGCCGGGATCTCAAAGTGCTTTTGCTCAAGTTGCTCCTTATGAAGAGCAACAAAGGTGACCGTTGCCCGGTAGAGCCCTAGAAATCTGGGAGGACGGCCCCCTACTCCTCTCCTGTCCCCCACCCAGTGCAGGGGCTGCACCTCCCAGCACAGCGTTGCCTGTCCAGGCCCTGACCAGAGCAGACCCAGCTGAGGGCTGTTGCAAGGAGACCCAGCGCGGCAGCCCAGGGGTGTAACGTGGACTGCTGAGCCCTCTGACCTCGGACCTCAGTCCTGGTAACTGCCCCCTGCCTTGTTTCTGGGCCTGACCAGCAACTGAACGCCACTCTCCTTGTCCCAGGCCACGGCTCCCCGCCCAGGATTCTAGTCTCCTTAAGGCTGCAGCGTCACCATGCCGCCTGTCCCTATCTCTGAGGTCCTGCCTGCGTCCAGCCCAGTGGCAGAGAGTAGGCAGGGGGCTCTGGGCCAAGGCAGGCTGTCCTTAGCAGTGTGGGGTCCAGCCCGGGCAGTGAGGACACTGGGAAGCTCGGAGTCAGCAGGGCCCGGGTTACACAACCAGCCCTGGGCCGTCTCAGGCATGTCACTTAACCTCTCTGAACCACACCTAAAGCAGAGGGGTAATTAATTAGAACGACAGCGATGATGGTGATGATGATGGTAGCCCCCAGGGGGCTTGCTGTGACTTTGCCCTTCACCTTCCTAAATAATAATGATAATGGCATTGCTGAGCACTCACGGTGTGCCAGGCACCATTTAAAGTGCTTTACACATTTACCTCGTTTAATCCTAAAATGACCCAATGAGCTGAGTATTTTATCTCATTTACTTATTTATTCATCTCGCTTATTCACAACAACCCAGCCAAATGGGATTGCTATGCCCAGGTTACAAAATTTAGTACAATTTAATAATATTTTTCATCAAGGGTGCTTTTGAGGATAAAATGAGATCTTCCACATCAGTCTGATCGGCGTGTACTTGGCAGTCAGTACATGGTGGCTGTTGGCGTCTTGACCACAGTGGTGACTGTAGCCCACTTCCCTCGCTATGCCAAGCACAGGGCGTTCTGGGCCACCAGGTCACGGCGGTCTGACCTCTGTCTGCGTTCAGTATAAATTTGGCTGGTGGACTTGACTTTCACATGAGGACCAGGCACCCACACATGGCTTTGCTGCCGACACCGCTGAGCCTCACTTTGCAGACCTGCCTGACTTCTGTGAGGTCTCGAGGTCTGAGCCTCAGTTTCCCTTTTAATTAACAGGGATACTAACTTGCTTGTGAACACGCTCTATAAACTGCTTTTTAATATGGTGAATGTTGTCTATTTTGCCTTGTTTTACAAAGAAGTTTAAGCGGCTTGCAAAGATTGATAAAATGTGGCAAAAGTAATATACATTGGAAGTGAAAGAGAAAGAATGTGTAAAAAGAAAGGAGACATGAGGCCCAGAATGCAACTCTGTGTTTTCTGTTGGCCACAAAAGAGACTGACTCTAAGATACTGGTTCTCTCCGTGGGCTGCACAGTAAAATCACCTGGATGGCTTTTAGAAACCCTGAAGCCTCGGCCAGCACCAGCTACCGCCCAATCCCTGACGGTGGGGCCCAGGCCGCAGGGTTTTCAGTGATCCCAGGGGTTCCGGTGTGAGGCCCAGATTGGGAACTGCTGCTTTTGGTGCTATCATTCTTGGGGCATCTACTCTTGCCTAACTCACACAGTTCCTTAATAAACCTATCTTCAGTGCTGGTCTTTAATTCCATAAGGTGCCTTTGCTAAACTGGAAATGAAAAACAGGAAAAAGTGTGCCGTGGAGGTGACTAAGATGTTGGGATCGTAGGGCTCCTTTCTCAGCCCCGCCTGGGCGTCACGCCTCCGGGCACTGCGCTAAAGAGAAGGCACCATCTGGCGGGCGCCACCAGGCTCCCTATGCTGCCTTCGTGCCGTGGACGGGCAGGGTGTTTTGGCAGGTGGCAGAATGCGGAATGCCTATGGAATGTCACATCAAATCCCCAAGCAGCCTAGCAGTCTACGGGAGGTCAGTGTGGAGCCAGAGAGGGCGTTTCGTGCCACAGGCTCAGGGAGGGAGTAAAGAGTTCAAGGCTGGCTGGCTCCAGGACCTGCCAGGTGGCAGAAGCTGCTGGGAACCAGGCTTTAACCCTCGGCTGGGCAACCCTCGACAAATAGCCTGGCCTCTCTCAGCCTTAGGGGCACAGAGGGAAACGGGGCCGGGGAACCAAGGGCGAACAGCCAGGGAAATCGCTCTGGGAATCAGCATGAATCCAAAGCAGGGGACTCTGGGGGACACAAACCATGGACACAGTAGCTCCAGACAGGACCCGCCCTGCTCCCTGCTCATCCCTAAGGACACCCAGTGCTCCTTCAACTTCTCCTGCAGCTGGGGCCAGACTGCCAACATCTGAGTCCACTTGAAGGCAGCCCAAGTGGCAGTCCCAGCTTGGCCACTATCCGAAAAGCCATTTTTCATCTCTGGCCTCAGTTTCCTCCTCTGTAAAATCAGGGGCTGAATTAGATCAATGGTTTCTGAAGCTACAGACTAGCCATATCCAGCTTGCTCAGGGAGCTTTGCAAAGAGACAGTTGGGCTCCTTCCCTCCTGGAGACTCTGGTTCATTGGTTCTAGGAGATGACATTTAAAAATATCCCAGAGTGACTCGAGTGTGCAGCAAAGCATGGGGCAGGGGGCCAGGAGATTCCAAGGGGCAGCCCCTTCCCTCACTGTCACTCTGATCTCTCTGGGTTCAGGCTCAAGGTGAACGGTGTTTGCCCGTCTCTGACACTGGATGCTATATAGGGCGGAAGAGAGAGTGCCATCTTGCCCTTGCCCACTGCCTGGCTCGAGTTGCTTTCTTCCCTCTGTTGGCTGAACTGCAAAACGATAAACCCAGATCTGTCTGCATCACAGCCAGCCATGCAGCCCAGGGAAGGCCGGTCTCCTCCATGTGTACGAGGTGGGTTGCGGACGGCAACTTTGTGGCCTGGTGTGCCGGCAGCCTGCAGAGGAGGGGCCTGGGCTGTCACGGTTGGCTCTGAATCCTCGAGTCCCTATTTTATTTTTTGAAATGTCACTTGTCACCCCCACTTCTCTCTGCCTTAGTGGCAACAACAAGTGTCCCTCCGATACAATCTGTTTTTCTCACTCGTCTCCCTGCCTGGAAGACTGAGGTATATCTCCCAAAGCATCATCTGGGGTACATGAGATGGGATTTTAGGGGAAAAGTGGTTTTTTTTATTAATTATAAATTGATAGTTGTAACAATCTATGTATGATAAATGTTTCCTTTTTAAAATAAATTCATGGTAAGTATAAAAGTTATTTAAAGGAAAATACTAAGCAATGAAAGTCAGGAAGAAAGTCTGTGAACGGCGAAAGTTTGGGAAATACCAGTCTAGTGGGAGGAGTCTCGTCCCTCGGGTTCAAGTCCCCGGAGGTGGCTGGTTATGGGGGGCAAGTCTCTGGACCCTGAGCCTTAGTGTCCTGTCCCGTAACATGAGAATCCATGCCCGCAGCACAGTGGTGAGGCCCACACGGGGAACAGATGCGACACGCTTGGTGAGTTACCGAGCCCCATCCATCCTTCATGGGCAGCTAGAGGTTCCCCTCCTCGGCCCCGTCTTTTCCGACACGCAGTGTTGCTGGTGAATGTTCAACTACTGGCTCCGACAGGGGAAGAGGAGGAGGGTCAAAGGGCCCTGGTGTGTAGCATTTGCCAATTTCCATGGTGTAAACACTCCCGCCATGGCAGTGGGAGGTCAGTGAGCGTGGAGTTGGGGCTGAGATGTGCGTAAGGGTTCGCGGGAGCTGGAGGGAGCCAGCACACCTCTGCCTCCAGCCCAGGCCACGCTCTCCCCCAGGACCGCCACCGGCTTAGCTCTGCATGCTCTTTCGTCACGTCCTGAATCACGTGCATCTCCCCTCCCACCAGATTGCTCCCTGGGAACCTAAGCTTCCCTTGTCTCACTCAAAACCCAGCACACAGGCACACAGCAAGTGCTCAAAAACTGTGCTATCATCACTGGTGCTATTTGTGCTATTGTAGGCGTTCCCTGCATGCTTGCTAATTGCCTGGGAGGTTATCTTGCCTCCCCTCCCCGCCTGGAAAAATTCATTAGTTCAGACTTCTATCTGGTCCCCTGAGTAGAATTCTTGTAGATGTGACATTTGGAGCAAGCAGGTGAGTTCCAGCCACGTACAAGCTGTGTGCTCTTGGGCAAATTGCTCAACCTCTCTGTGTTTTTTTAGCTTCCTCGTCTAAACAGCAAAGATAATACTATCCACCATGAAAAAGCTGTTAAAAGGATCCAGTAAGTTTTAGATTGCAAAATACAGGCCAGGCCAGTGCTACGTAAATGCTTGCTATGATTATTGCCGTTGCTGTTGTTGTAGGCTCTCCCTCCATGCCTGCTAACTGCTGAGACGTTTTCCTCTTTTCCACCAGAAAGGTGCCCTCTGCTCTGACCTCTCCCTGGCCTCCCTAATCCCGTGGGCGGGACATTCAGAGCAGGCCTGTCCCTCCCAGCCCCCACCCCGCCCAGTGTGGGTCCTGGGACAGCTGCCCCCGGAGGCGGGGGGCCTGGGCTGACCTGTAGTTGCCCCTCCTGGAGGCGATGTGCAGCGGGAGCAAACCGTCCTTGTTGGCCTTGTTGGCGTCGGCGCCCTGCGACAGCAGGAACTCCACGGCCTCCTCGTGCTCGTTCTTGCAGGCCTCGTAGAGGGCGGACGCGCTGTCGCTGGCCTGCGTGTTGATGTCGGCGCCTGGGGGAGGGGCAGCAGACCAATGAGCGATCTGGTAGTCCCCGTCCTTGATGTAACGTCCACCGCAGGCTGGGCACTGCTGTGCTGGCCACCCTGCCGCACCGGATCTTTAATGACCCCTAGGAAGGAGGGGCCCACCTGGCCCCCCCAGCCTCTTTCCGCCACATGGAGACCGGAGGGCCTGCCAGCCTGAGCTGAGGCCTCTTAGAAGCTAAGAGCAGCCACGATGACATTGGTATTTACTGAGCACCTACTACGTGCTGGACACCGTGCTTTCCGGTCCACGACATAACCCTATGAGGTCTCTTCTTACCTCCGTTACAGATGAGGGCACTGAAGCACCAAACCCCAAACCATTCAGCTTGGAAACCTACCATGCTTCCCCGAAAATAAGACAGGGTCTTATATTTGTTTTTCCTCAAGAAGACACCCTAGGGCTTATTTTCAGGGGATGTGTCATTTTCCCCTCAAAGCCTCAGCTTGCAGCACGCACAGGATGGCCAGGACCTGACAGGGGGAGCCGACCTTGCTGGTGGGGCTGCCCACACCTTTCCGGTCACCTCTGGGACAGTAGCTGTCACGATGGGGCAGACGAGAAGGGCTGCTCGTCTTCTTTACCACCGCTCCGAGACGAAATGCATGGGTTGTGCAGATGCGCTGCGCAGCCATGCCCGTCACTAGGGCTGATTTTCGGGGTAGGGCTTCTATTGCGCACATGCTCAGAAATCCTGCTAGGGCTTATTTGATGGGTAGGTCTTATTTTCGGGGAAACACGGTAGAGCCAAACCGGAGCCCGGACAGTCTGATGGTGGAGGCCGTGCTCTTAACGCTCACTCCGTGTAAGAGGCCCCGGCTCTGCCCTGAGACAGGCCTGGCAGGTCCAGGAGCGCAGGAGCCCCGAGTGAAGGGAACCCTCGATAACTTTACTAATTGGGATTTGCCTTTTTCTGCCTTTTGCTTCAAGGAATAAGAGAAGAATTACTTCCTGTCTCCTCCAAAGAAAACACTAAACCAGGGGTCCTCAAACTTTTTAAACAGGGGGCCAGTTCACTGTCCCTCAGACCGTTGGAGAGTGCGCACTGTGGGCCCGGGATGAGTCGGCTGCTAAGCAGGACAGCCAGCGGCGGCAAAAACACCCAGAGGGCCAGATAAATGTGCTAGGTGGCCCGCATGTGGCCCGTGGGCCGTAGTTTGAGGATGCCTGTACTAAGGCCATGCATCCCAGTCTCCTGCACCATCTCCTGGGGGGTGCGCCCGGCTTTCCCTGCCAAGTGAGGGCTCCGCAGTCCTTCCTTGTTCTGGAAGGAGTGGAGCCAAGACTGAGAGATGTCAGTGCGGGCTTCCATGAAAGGCATTTGCTGCCCACGGCTCGCCCCTCTGAGCACGCGCTTAGCTCGGGCTTTCTGGTCACTTTTTACTTCTGCTGCTAGGGGGACTGGTTTCTGGCCTAGTGGAGAAAGCACAGGCTTTGGTGACAGATGAGAACCGGCTGAAGCTTCTGTCCCATTGCTCACAAGCGCTGTGACCTCAGAAAGCTTTGGAGAGCCTCGGTTTTCTCATCTGTTGACCAGGAGTAACAGGACCCACCCCTTGGGGTCACTGTGGGTAGTAAACAAGATAATGCCAGTAAATCCCTCGGCACGGCGCCTGGCACAGAGAAGGTGCTCCGCAAACACATCCAGTTGTCCAGGACGGAGAGGGGCTGGCTCTGTCCCCTCCCGGAGCCAGCCAGCTGCTCTATCTAATACCCTGCCCGGCTGTCAGAGTCAGACCCCTGGAAGGCCTGGACCCCGCCAGCAAAGCCGCCTGCTCGCACAAGAAAAATATTTGCGTTGGAAAATGGACTCAGCCCCTGAAGGGAACAGACCCTGACTCAGAGTGCCGGCGGGAGACCCGGGCAGATGTTTGCAGTTGGTGGGGTCGCCGTTGCCCGCCGAGCACGCTGCCCTCGGCCCAGCCTTCTGGCCTGGGCTCCCAGGACCTGCCTGCGCCCCTTTGTTCTTACTCGGGTCAGTCTGCGTTTGTTCCCGTGCAGGGAAGAGCCTCGAGTCTGTGTTCCCAACCGCTCGGGCACGTGCTGAGTGACCTGGGCGTGGTCCCACGCCCGTCACTCTCGCGGGCAGAGGTGGTGTGGCGTAGCGAAAAGTGCGTGCAGTTTGCAGTCAGATGGCCGAGGGTCAGAATCGGGGCTCTGGCTGTGACCAATTAGTTAACCTCTCTGAACCTCAGTCTCCTCGTCTGTAAAATGGGACGAGGACACTGCCTATGCCGTGGGGCAGTGGGGGAAACTCCGCTGACCTAATCTGTGTTCCTGCTTAGCCGGTCCTCAACAGATCATTCCAGTGCAGCCTCAGGGGGAGGTCTAGGTCACCTCTGGCCTCTGCTGCTAGGTGGGGAGGGTGACTCTCCATGGAGAGAGAAAAGAAATCACAGGTGTTCTTGGGAGACATCAGAAAATGATTCTCTTTAGGCAAAAGAACGTCTGCCATGGCCCAGGGTCCTCTGCTACCGGGATACGGTGATGCTGGCAATGTTGTTTTATTGTCATCCGTTAAGATTTTTCGGAGGCCAAGAAGGCAAAGACCTGGTTTCCGATCCCAGCGCTGCCACTAGTCTGCCGTGTGACCTTGGACACACACCCTCCCGCCCTGGCGCTTGGGTTCATCACCTATAAATGCGGAGGCGATCTACACGTTGGCTCAGGTTGCTCCCGGCCCTGAAGCGTGATGTGGTGGAAAGAGAAGCAGCTGGGCTGTCAGGAGAGCAAGAGTCTGGCAGGTTCTACAACGAATTTGCTACATGACTGTAGATCAGTCACTTCCCCTTCCTGGGCCTCAAATTCCTCATTCATAAAATGAGGACATTGCCTACATTAGAAATGGCAAATATGTGACACGTGTGTTACATGCCCCATGTTTGTGCCTAACGGCAGATGTCACTGGTGGATCTCAACACTCTTCCCACCGACCCTAGACACGGCCTCCAGGAAGGCACTAGCACTCCATCAGAGTGTGCCCGCAAGGTGACACCTAAACTTGCCTTCCCTTACAGCTGGTCTCTGAGGTCCTTCCCAGCTTGTGCCCCTTGGGGACTCCATGACCTAGGGACCCTTAGCCACGTACCGTGCTTGACCAAGAACCTCAGGGCCTCCAGCTGCCCACTCTGGGCCGCCACGAACAAGGGGGTGATGCCGTAGGCGTTCTTGGACTCCACCTTGGCGCCGCCCTTCACCAGGATTTCTATGACCTCCAGGTCGTTGCGGGAAACAGACTCGTGCAGAGCCGTCCAGCCTCGGTTGCAGCGGTGGTTGGTGTCTGCGTTGTGCTGCACGAGAATCCTCACCGCCTCCACGTTCTTGCGCTCACAGGCTGCGTCCGGGAAGAATCGAGATGGTCAGCAGGACCCTGGCAGGAGCTGGCCAGCCAAGACCCCATTCGTGTATCTGTCCATTCACTCATTCATCCATCAGCCGTTCATTCCACAAACACCCATTGGGTCTGTATTATGTTCTAGTCCCTGCATTGAATTTAGGACATACGACTAAAGTGATACTAATACTAATATTAGCAATAGTACTTGCTGATATGTATGTAATACTGGTTCTGTGCTGGGCTGTCAGTCCTAAGCACTTATCATGATTAACTAATTGAATCCTCCCAACCGCC